TATATATATATATATATTATATATAAGCCATATCAACAAATATATTTTTTCACCATAAAAATTTTGAGGAAAAAAAAAATCTCAACCTTAGTTTTTCATCTGCATAGTGTGATAAAGTTGAGTGTAGAAAAGCTGAGTTTCTAATTTAGTACCAAAGTAGACATTTTACCTTGTATAGTGCTAAAGAATGGCCATATCTACCAACCACATTGTTCACAGAATGATTCAGCGTCAGCCACTCCCTAGAAGCGAGGTCATACCTACAAAACAAACAGATTATGTTTTTGAGATGACAATACAGCAAAAACAGATTACAAAACAGAACAGGTCATATTCTTTTCATTTGTGATAAAATCCAGTTTGGAGATGCTCATTAAATCTGCCACAGATAACTGAGAGGTATCCAGACAAAACCTGAACATCTGGGTTCCTGAAACCAAGTGAGAACACAGGAAGAGGGGGGCTGGGTTGTACAGACAGCCTTAAGACAAGAAAGTAAGAAAATCTGCTGCAAGACCTAACGCTTCCCAAAACCTCTTCTTCACGTGGTCCAAAATCTCTTGAAGGTTGCATTATAGTCCAGGGACTTAAACTTTCATTACCATAGCTTTCCTTTCATTAAGGTAGTAGTTTAACCAAACGAAGATTACATATTCCAAGGAAATCACACCAGTGTCTAAAGGGATATCCAAATAGATTTTTCTCCAGAATACTTATTTTGAACCATTTTAGTTTATTTCTTTACTTTTCAACACCCAAAGCACTTTCATGCCATCTCTGGCTCCTCGCCAAATACCTATCACAGTGTGGCATGGCTAATCGAGATTTTTCATGGCAACACATCAAGGTTAACCGCATTTCAAGACAGAAGTACTGAATCAGGATTAGGCAGAATCTGGCTAAACAGCCCTAAGAGTAAAGTTTTAGATCTGACTTTCAAAAACATCCCGGGCAGGGGGTGGTGGGAGGAACTTACCCAAGTCATATTCTTGTACATTGCTTATGTATCCATAGAGAGGGCAGTGACCAAAGATGACTAGCATGACCACACGACCGGTCTTCAGCGTGACGATGTGCGCTGAGTGCCCGACCACGGCATACTGCTCCTTTGCTTTCGGCGTGAGCACCACCCATGATTCATTGTGAATATGAAACACTCTCAACTCATTGGTCACATTTCCTGTTGAATCAATTTTTCCTCCATACATGTAAATTTTATCCTAGAAAACAATGTCAACCACATTCTAAAAAATCTCTCTGAGAACAGAAGGGATCAATTCAAAGCATCAATATTTTTATTCTTAGTGCAAAAAGAAAGACACCTTTCAGTAAATTATTGGGAAATGGAGCAAAATAAAATCATATCCTACATCTCTAATACCACTACCTTTCTTGAGCTTCCTCATTGATGACTTTTTACAATATAAAATCACCTAGAAAAATGAAATTGAAAAGTTCTCACACCCTATCATAAGCCACAAAAACAAGGAAATGAAAGTGATTACTCAGTCATATTGCAAGGTGGCTCTTCTTGGCCAAACTCACTAAAAACTAACTTTGAGCCTCTTGGTACCACAGTCATATACCAGTATAAGTTCAATCCAAGATTTAAATCTCTTAGGCTCAATTACTTTCACCTTTAATTTCTACCTATATATAACTTAGCTAGTTATATGCCCACTCAGAAAGATTTCCCCCAACTTAAAAACCAATACTGAAGTCAAAATCAGACAGAAAGTGGCAAGCTGACTGCCTGTGCTGGGGAAAGCAGTTACAAGGAGTAACAGTAACAAGAAGCTACTGTTTCAGTGGGCACACAGTTGCAGTTTTACAAAATTAAAGAATGCATTTAATACCACTGAATTGTACACTTAAAAATGGTTTTACATATAACATATATATATATTATATATATATATATATATTATATATAAGCCATATCAACAAATATATTTTTTCACCATAAAAATTTTGAGGAAAAAAAAAATCTCAACCTTAGTTTTTCATCTGCATAGTGTGATAAAGTTGAGTGTAGAAAAGCTGAGTTTCTAATTTAGTACCAAAGTAGACATTTTACCTTGTATAGTGCTAAAGAATGGCCATATCTACCAACCACATTGTTCACAGAATGATTCAGCGTCAGCCACTCCCTAGAAGCGAGGTCATACCTACAAAACAAACAGATTATGTTTTTGAGATGACAATACAGCAAAAACAGATTACAAAACAGAACAGGTCATATTCTTTTCATTTGTGATAAAATCCAGTTTGGAGATGCTCATTAAATCTGCCACAGATAACTGAGAGGTATCCAGACAAAACCTGAACATCTGGGTTCCTGAAACCAAGTGAGAACACAGGAAGAGGGGGGCTGGGTTGTACAGACAGCCTTAAGACAAGAAAGTAAGAAAATCTGCTGCAAGACCTAACGCTTCCCAAAACCTCTTCTTCACGTGGTCCAAAATCTCTTGAAGGTTGCATTATAGTCCAGGGACTTAAACTTTCATTACCATAGCTTTCCTTTCATTAAAGACACGCACCAAAAAAGGAAGACTAATTAATAAGTAAAAGAAAAGTCCTGACCTTTCATTTTCTCTAGTTTATTTCTAAAAAAATCCTCTTTTCAAGAAAGCCAGAATATCATTATAGCTTTCCAACTATATTATGAACATATTTAAAGATTTTTAAAATATAAAAATGCCCAAAAGACAGTCATTTACTCTTATACCGCAGTATTACTCACAATCAATATTTTAGATTATTCACAGTTTCTGAGGCCAATATCACTATTGATTTTCAGTTGAAATCTGAATGTTTGGGGTATCATGACAAGAAACTCTAGATCTTGTTTAAATTTTCTGTGATAACAAGCCTCCTCTGACATTACCCCATTGGGGGGGAGGGAGGTTAACTCATAACTGCAGTTGAGCAGGTAGGAGCAAAAATTGCAGCTCTATGTGACCTCCATTGCTGTCTCGGTGGGAAAGACCTTATTTCCTGGTGGAGAGGAAAGTCCCAGCTTCCTCAAGGCCTTCTCTGACACTGTCCTGGTGGGGTGAGGAGGCCAGTTGTCACACTATGTCCCTGCAAGGGTGGAAACCTAAATTCTACGCTCACCCCCATCCTGGCAGGAGTGGGGTAGGGCCAAGTTTCTGTGGTCTTTGGCTGAAGAGACGTTACTGTCTAAGCTTCTGTCTTGCTAACTTGTCCCTCTGCTTGTCCTTGAGCTAGAGACAACAGGTTTTTCTTGGGGCCTTTTCTGCTTGGGTTGAGTTTTCCAACATTGAGTCTGAGCTACATGATACAAAGAGAAAACTCTTCCAACGTACCATTACGCCATTCTTTGGGTCCTAGGGTACATAATCAGATTGCCTTCCTCTCTCTACCTTTCACCGTTTTCTCATGTTTGTTTTATACATAATACACAGGGTTTTTAACTGTACTTACAAAGGTTATGGGAAAGTGATCTTCATTTCTCTATGATGTAAAAAATTTTCCTTTCTTAAATTTTATTTTTAAAGGCATATCTCTTGTGTTTATTTTGTATTCCTTTTTGATTTGTCTTCAATTTTGAAATTTTAAAATTCCTTCTGTCTCCTTTGTAGAGCTTCCTAGTTCTGATAATATTGTTCTTTCACATCCAGTATCATTTTCTCATTGCTGATCTTAGAGTACTAAGTATAACTGTAATCAATTTTGTGAACATATTTTTCTACTGTGTGTTCATGTATGGAGTTATGTTATCCTACTCTTTATTCTTGTAATAACTTTCTATGCAGTTTGGACTTCATATTTTTCTGATATATTTCTTGGTATTTATTCAATATTAAGTAAAATTACTTTTCCCTGAACTTTACTTGGGGAGGCTTGGTTTGGGAGATTTTTTTTTTTTTTTTCTAATTTCTTAGCTCTCCTCTATTGCTGCAATATAGTGTTCAGATATGCACAGCTTTCTTGTTAAGATCTCTTGGCTCCACTCCACTCCCTGAATGTTATCTGGAGTTTCTTTTACTTTGTCTCTACTGCCCTTGTGCTGTTCAATCTGAATACTATCCCCAGCAGCTTCTCCTCAATGTGCAACTTTGCAAAGAGACTGGAGGTTCAGCTCCCTTAAGCTCATCCCACTATTATGTACTATGCAAAAAGCTTTCCAATTCCAGCTATTCAGCTGTGGGTTGCTCCATTGCTCCCCTTCACTTATTCCTGTACAGACCCTGATACCACACAGGTCTTACAGTCATCGAGGGGTTATCCCCACCCCTTTGTGTAGATTCCCTCTGACCAAATTCTGTTGTAGATGTCACTCATGCGGTTTTTAAGTTTTGCTATCCTAGATTACCTTGTGTGTTTTCCTGACTATATCTGGGGCAGTTTATAAACTATGCCACCAGTGTCACATTTCCAGACTCCCTTAAAAAACAGATGCTGGTGATATCTGTTCTTTAATAAACTTCATAATACAGAATGCTTAGAAAGAATTTCAGCATTAACTGTGCATAAAAGTCTCCCAAGTTAATTACCAGAGTTAATTCCATAGGGACAACAAATATTCTCTTTTCAAGAGTAGCTGCACAAAACCAGCAATAGGTGATGAACCCTGGGAAGTATCACACCATGCCATACTTTCTACTTGCAAGCCATAAATCCATATCATTTGACTATAGAAATACTAATTAGGAGATAAAGAAATACCTCAAGTATCTAGGGCTTACTACATATACCTAACATCAACAGTACAAAATAACAAAATATCAAAACATCTGAAAAAGATGAATTATTGCTTGTTACAATTTTGCTCATTCAAAAACGAAGACTATCAAAACAGTGTAGAACACCACAACCAAAATATTAACACAGATTTCCCTTAGGTAAGTGGAATTACTGATGATTTTTTTGTTTTTTTTATATCTATAATAAATTTTCAAAATAGAGAACTAAGCATCTTGTAAAAATGTTTAAAGCAACTTACGCTAGAACCATGTTGTAATCTGAGTGGTTGAACATATATCCTCCAACAACCCACATTATATTGCCATTGACCACAGCTTTATGAGAGGCTCTAGGGAGCTTTAGGTTAGAAAATTCCTCCCGAGTCCAGAATGACTGGTTAGCTGGTACAGGAATTGCACAGCTGGGACCTAATAAAAAATAATAAATTAGCTTCACAAAATGCAGTTTTAAATTTTTGAGATTTCAAATATTATCATCTAAAGGTACCAAGTATCTAAACAATACAGTCTTTCCTTTAGCAGGTAAATGTCCAACAAAGGGTTTTATATGTGTTTCAACTTACTCAAACTAGTGACCAAGGATGAGCCCTGATAAAATTCACAATTTTATATACTGTCTTATGATGGCCTGAGCATATCCAGGCTAGGATTTTTTGGTAATGAAATACTTGCTGAAGCAATTCTCACAGGACAGAGCAGACAACGGAATCATTAATTCATGAAAGGCTAAAATGTGAAAATGTGTCCTGGGAGTAATAACACAAACTATCCCTTTCCTGGAAAATCAAGAAACTCCTTTTTAGGAGGGTTGGCCTCTGCTGCAACATTTTTACATTAGAAGGTATTCAAGTACTTAATTTTTTTTTAACTTTTTAATGTAAGCCAATTGAACAAACTGAAGCATTTAAACAAAATAAGTATTCTGAGGAAGGGTACATGTATTTAAAAAACTGTGTCAGTAACAGCTGTCATCACCCAGTCCTTTAAGAACTTGCCAATGCTTCTTTAATAATCTATATTTGCAGATAATTCCTTTAGCTGACAGCTTCAGGATTCTACTATATAAATAACCCCAATTTTCTATCAATTTATAGGAGTTTTTTGAGGATACTATTACTGTCAGCTTTTGTCCCACCGCCCAGCTTAGTTTTCCTTTGTGTCTTCTTATAGCTGAAACCAAGTTCTCCAGCTTTTATGAATGAATTGCAAAGAAGGTTAAACCTCTCCACAATCCCACACCTTACAAAACTCAAGATTTGTAAGAAGCTCAATTTTTGTTGAAATTTAGCTTACTGAAGTAGCTTAAATGCTACCTGATAGCTGATTAATATAAATGGTATAAGTGCTAGGAATACCATAACTCTATAATTTATTCAACTAAGAACATCATGTAAAATGAAAGGAAAAAAATGAAAGATACTCTTACCCTGCCACCCTGGGTAACAGGAACATCCTCTGACATCACCTGACTCACAGATGCCTCGGTGAGGAAAACCACAGTTATTTACACATTGAGGAAGGTCACAGGCTTCACCTTGCCAGTTTTCAGAACATTCACATTGAACAGTGTTGCTACTATTGCTGATCTTACATTCTCCTCGGCCTGAGCAATTGTTTGGACACATGTCAAAACTATAAAAACAGTGGGGGGGGGCGGGAAATTAAATCAACACAAAGCAACACTTTAATTAATTTAGCAAAACTTCCTCCTACACAGGGTTTAACGATCGCACTGTCTCTGTAGTTCATTCACAAGCATAACTGCAGTACTTACCATTCAGCCTAAATGGGCTCATTCAACATTACAGAGCTTTGGTACATAATCAAATCAAATCAACCCTGTGGATTCTCACAAGAAGAGACACGTTAAAGAAATTACAAGGAGAGATGAGGTTCTTGCAAAACTGTCTGGGCTTAGATTCTCAAGGGTGAGATGAGTATCCTATTCTTGGCAGCTCACACAGACAGCATTACAAAATTGCCAAACGCATGCCTGCAAGTTCGGAAAGAAAAAAGCTACAACAATGCACTTTCATCCTCATGGTATATCCCTTAAGACGACTGCCTGGGTCATTGTACTCCAAACCTCTTAATAAGTCTATCTACTCATTTCAGATGGGAGAAAAGGGAGGGGCAGTTTAACTTAATACAGGTTAATTATAGTGTGGCTCATAATACCATGACTTAAATTAACTATATTGACAGCACTTTGAAAAAATATAATTCAGATTTTTTAAAAGGGAAATGACTGGACTATCAAGATACTTTATGAGTACAGATTTCTTCTAAGGCCTGCAAAGAAAACTGAAAAGAAGTTTTTAGCAAGGCATATCAGAAAATTAAAAATCAGTTACAATTATTTACAGTTAACAATTTAATAAAATTCCATGTCTATATCCAAACAGCAGTTTAAACTACACATTCATGCTAAAATTTTGTAAGTATAATTTTATAATCTATAATTATAATAAATGCATGTCTACTTTTCAAGCCCCAGTAAGATTAAATGAAAAAGAGTAATTCTTTAATCCTAAAACAGTTTTAAAGACCTTATTACTATGAGTATTTACTTAGAAAGCTGAATGACGTTTTAATTTTCTTACATTTTGTCATTTTTATTGAGTATAACTGACACATAAAACAATGTATCAGTTCTAGATGTACAACACAAGGGTTTAATATGTGTATATATTGCAAAATTATTATAAGTTTAGTAAACATTAACACATACAGTTACAATTTCTTTCCTTGTGATAAGAACTTTTAAGATCTACTCTGTTAGCAATTTTCAAGTGTACAATATAATATTGTTAGCTAGAGTCACCAGGTTGTATGCTGCATCCCAGGACTTATTTATCTCATAACTGAAACCAGATGACTTTCTCACAGGATTCTAGAAAGTGGTGCCTACCCCTTTTTATAGACACATACAAGTAAAGAATCAGTAAAGGTCGATTTCACCTTTATGAAGAAAAAGTCCTCTGCAAGGTAATAGTTTAGAAAAATAAAGTCTAAATTTCAGATTGATTATGTTATGCTGAACTGGCTACAGCAATCACACTTCATTTTTTAAAAGGTCTAAAAGAAAACCAAGGTAAATAAGTTCCATTAAGTGCTCGGGCCTGAACTTGACACCAAAAATGTCAAATTATCATTTCCTACAGACACATTAATTGTATATGAGAAAATATCCCACAACAAAATCATGTTATTGAAAATCAAAGAGGAAAAAGTAACTCTTAGCACCTTTTAAAGGAAAGGAAATATAATTTCAACATTTTCTTGAACCTCAATACTCAAGCACCCTGAGGCAGTTTTATTTAATGGAAAGGAAATATAATTTCAACATTTTCTTGAACCTCAATACTCAAGTACCTTGAGGCAGTTTTATTTAATGTGTCAAAATTAATTGTGCACATTCTTTAGAGGAGTTGCACAAAATCTCAAACACAAAAATAAATTTTAAATTTCTAATAAGTGAAAATGGAAGGTAATATATTAAAACATCTGTTTGTATATCTACCTCAACTAGAGTTATGAGAAATCATTCCAATTTCCTGTGCTTAAAATGACTTGGAATGATTAAGATTTGTTTTTTTCTTTTCACTTTTAATAGAAAATCAGGGAGCATCTGAGTGGCTCTGGGTAGAAAATCTCAAGAGTCCTCAAACTGAGGTCAACCCTAAGTGAGGATCCGAGCAACTGAGGATACTTGGAAGATGAATGACATACAAGTGCTTCTGGCATTTTTCTGGGAATACAGACCGTTGTTTTATTTGGCTTTTCATAGGGACTGGAAACCCTCAAATCATAGTTTAGTAATCATTTTTTAAAGAAGAATGACCTTAGAACAAAGAAGCTAATAAAATTTAAGATAACTTTTATCAGTCCCTCACTGAACCAATCCTAATCCTGGTCTCTAGCAGAGCTCAAGGTTTCTCCCTTCAGCCAGCTCAAAGAAGGAAAAGGACCAATCAGGTCATTCCTGCGGGAAGTACTGGGTACAGAGCTCTCCAGGGACGGCAAGGGCTTCCCACGTGGAGGAATGCTTGAATTGCCTTTTCTCTTGGGGTGCTCTCCCTGGAATTTTCCTCCCCCAAAGTTGCTCCAATGAGAATCCCTCCAACGGTGAAGCCTGTGCCCTCTAGACCCTGACCTAGGAGTGTACATGAAACCCAGAGCAGGTCCCGGATGACTGATCACTGCTCTGTATCAAAATGTGCACTGGCAGCAGCACCACCACCCAGAAGCTGAGACTGAGAAACAGTCTCAGGGCACGGCTCTGCTGAACTGCAGGTAAAGTTCAAGAACCCCCCCCAGGAGGTCCCCATGTATGTGAGGTTTGAAAAGCCCTGACTTACACTTTATCTCCAGTCTCCCCATCTTCAGAGCCAAATTTCTTCACAGCGTATTGCCACTCTCAATGCCACCACTTTTTAACCTTCCCTCCTGAGGTTCCACAGCAGGCCTCTGACTCCACCCACCAGTTGGACCACCTTAGGGCTTGCTATTTCCTCAGTCTTACAGCTGTCAGTTTCCTCCTTCCTGAGACTCACTTTTCTGTGCTTCTATGACAACAAAGCACACAAATATTCCTCACATACCCCTCAGCTGCCTCTATTGCTCCTCTCCCTACTGTTGATAGGCCCCATAAGTCAGACACTGTCCACATGCCAACGAGTCCCAACAAGATCCTGGCAACTCTTCTGAGCCCCAGAAACTAGTATCATGTCCTGGTTACCCACCTATATTAACCCAACCAAACTCATCAGTCCTTCCTTCAACCCAGCCTGTATGTCTGCTGGCGTCATGAAAAATCACCTGCTAGTACTGTGATCAGTTGCCTGCGTGGCTACATCACAAACCCTGGGTTACCATACCAATCAAGATAGAGACAACTTTAAATAGGTCTGAAAGAAAATCCTGAGATCCCAAGAAAATGGACAGAAAAGGAACCCAGAAACAGGGTTCAGGAGTTGGCAGACTTACTGTGCTAAAGACCTAATGGCAAGTATATTAGGCTCTGTGGGCAATGTTAGTTATCACAGATTCCCTTGTGGATGGCATTTTTCTTTTTTTTACTTTTATCTCTTTTATTACCATTTGTTTAACAAGAAGATATTCATATATATATATAATAGCTTATTTATATATATAATAGCTAATATATATATAATAGCTTATTTATAATATATAATAGCTTATATATATATAATAGCTTATATATATATAATAGTTTATTTTTACATCATTTTGTGCATTTTTCCATCTCAGTTGCAATCCCCTTGGGCTTCCCATCACCAAATCATCCATGTGCCAGTGGATGGCATTTTATGAATTGCACTATTATGAAAATAATAGTGAGAAAAAAGAAGATAAAAGAATCCTCTCTTTATAACAAATTCCAAAAACTGTGTAGTCTAAATTTCCTTTGTAGCCCCATAAGTTATCACCAGTGAACAACTTCGGAGTACAAACTACTATGTGTTGAATCGTGCTCAGCAAACCCTCCCATGCTCTGTCCATCAGCAGGAAAATGCCTCTCCCTTCCAGAAGCAACTGCAGGAGGCCCTGGGTTGAAAAGGTCCCTCCACACACGGGTGACTCAGTAATGGGAAACTCACGGGGATTACAATTGAGATGAAAAAAAAAATGTACAAAATGATGTAAAAAACTGTTATATTATTTAAAAAAAAAAGAAGAAAAGGTCCCACCACTTGGATGGCTTCTTTTACGTTTTGCTGCTACTTTCCTCATTTATAAAAGGAGTAGAAAAGCAATGCCCATACCTCACAGTTTTTAAAAGAATGTCCTATGAGAACATCCATGCAAACTGCTTAATACCGTGCCTAGTACCTGGCAAGCCCTCTATACTGCTAAAGCACACTGTGTTGAGTAAATCTCACGTTTTAGGCATACATATCTTACTTGTAAGTGATATTAAATCCAGTCAGATTATAAGCAGCATCGCTGAAGAAATGCAGCAGGGCGTAACCCGAAGTGGCGACAACCTCGGGCACCGTCTCGTTGCCGTCTCTCTCGGGAACGATGAGGCCGCTGAAATGAAAGCACACTTCTTACAAAGAGAAGTACAGTCACAGGCATGAGCCGTGGTGACACAAAAATTCAGAACAGGAATTCAACTTTACAATTTAAAAATCCACTTCCAGGGGGCCCTCCCTGGTGGCGCAGGGGTTAAAGCGCTGCACTAAGATGCTTAAGCCACTGCTATATGAGTTCGATCCCCGCCTGCCCCTGAGGAGATCCACGTCACGGCAGACCTCTCCTGACCCGCCCACCGCTCCCCTCAGGGGTGTACTTCGTAGATCTGCCTGCTCTTTCCCCTCTCTGTCTCTGGTGAATCCTCTCACCCTCCGCATCTCTGCCCTTTACCCCAGCTCTATATGTATGAATAAAAAAAAATTTTTTTTTTTAAAAATCCACTTCCAGGGCCTTCCCTGGTGGCGCAGCGGGTTATAGCACTGCACTCAGAAGCTAAAGCCACTTCCGCATGAGTTCCATCCCCGCCTGCCCCGGAGGTGACCACATGGCGTGGCAGACCTCTCCTGACCCACCCCGCTGCTCCCCTCAGCAGTGTACTTTGTCCATCTGCCTGTTCTGCTCCCCACTCTGTCCCTGGTGAATCCTCTCACCCTCCGCATCTCTGGCCTGTACCCCGGTTCTATATGAATAAAGAAATAAATCTTAAAAAAAGAAAAAATCCACTTCCAGGAAGAGAGGCAAATTCCTGTGACAAATGCCCGTGCTACCTCCCTAGTTCTGGATGCTCCAGGGAAGAGATTGGAAGCTTCTGTCAGGCTCATCTTTATTCCCAGAGGGCTGTATTTCTAATGAGATCTGAAATCAATGGCCTATTCTTTCTTTTTTTTTAATAAAACTTTTTATAATGGTTCTTTGAAAAAAATGAGTCAGCCTCCACAATCACAGAGAGGAGCAAACTTTCCAAGCTGATGAGTGACAAATGCATGTTACCAGAAGTCAGGAAAAGCCAAAACAGCAGTCAAAAGGCTTGATAAACAAACACCTAGAATCCTAATTTATTTTGCCTGATGTACACCTTAGCACATCATACATGCTATTATAAGTAACACACTACAAGCATTTCCTGGGTCATTAAAAGCTTCTCCAAGCTTTGAGGATCTCGCTCAGGGTCTAACACACTGTAGTGTTTGTTGGGTTTCTGGAGAATTACTGAGTCATAGGGCCTAAACAATGGCTTTAAGGCTTTTGGTCCAAACACCAACTTGCTTTCCAGAAGAGATATGAAATTCTTTCTTGAATTCCCATTAATCAAGAATAAAAGGGTTCATCCCACTCCTGTCTGTGAAGAATGCCAGTTCTGTTTTAATTTTGCTAATTAATAGTGAAAGTGATTTTTCAATTATAGTTTTGCATTTCTACCATATTTCTGAAGTTAATCACTTCTTCCTCTGCTTACCTACCTTTGCATTTCTTCATATGCTCATGTCTTGTGCCCAGTTACCAATTTGCTATCACCTGTATCATATCACCCAGTAAAAGCCTAAAATGCTTACTAGGTTTTATATAATCTGCTTGTATACACAGCCTCATCCAGCGAGTAAACATCTCACCGCATCTCAGCCCCAGTCACTCTGAGCTCTGCTCTCTGAGGGCACACAGCAGGCAAACTCACCCCTTAGGATCGACCACAACCTCATATGCCCATTCACTATGACCCAACAATTCTATTTCTTTGTAGAAGAAAATACTCCAAGACAAATAAATAAAAATTCTCTCTGCAGCAGTACTCAGAATGGCAGAAGGCTAAAAATCATCCAAGTTCTCATCCGTACAAAGTTGGCTGAATGAGTCATTACAATAGCTGTAGGTCCAAGAGGAAGAAGGAGGAGCTCATTAAGGCAGTCTGATAGGAAAAAACAAGTTGCAAAATAGTGGGGCTAGTATATGTTTACATTTACATTTATTTACATAAATGTATATAAAATGACAAAATGGGAGTGCAATATAGGCAGGGAATGAGGAAGAAGAGGAGAAGATGGAATTTTTATTAAAGTTTTTGTTATGAAGGCAGAACTCTAGGAATCCCTGGACTCTGAAGGTGCTTCTGGAGCTATGAACAGTGAAGCACTTTCTACTATGTATTCGGCTGGTAGATAACTAAGCACTGAGCCCTTCCTAGGAATGAAGCACTGCAGTAGGTCCCAGGAATGACGAAGTCTCTGCTCTTGTGGGATTCAGATCAGAGAAACAACAAGTAAGTCCAGATACACTGCCTTTCCTCAAAAAGGGGTGTGTGTATATGTCTGTGTGTGTGTGTGTGACCCCAGGCAAAGATAAACACTGTGAGGAGAAATGGAGCCCAGTAAAAGAAGAGAAGACGTGCCTTTAAAAGGGGAAGTCTTCTGAAGAGGTGACATTTGATCAGTGACCTAAGTGAAAGTTTCAGCTATCATCATACTTCCACCAGTTTTACGCATCAGAAACTCCTGACATTCTGAAGGGTAAGCACCTGAAAAGCAAGGCCACCTAGAAACTGGTATGTCAAAGGCACTTTCCCATAAGAAATACCGGCACAGGAAAGGGCTGGGGGCTTCAGTCACGGGCTTCAATACTCTCTTACTCCATGTGACTCGCCATGCCAGTGGCCTCTCCAAGCCTCAGTTTCCTCAAATGCACTACCTCACCACAACATAACGATTGGTACAAACTGGTAAAGCATGTGGTGTGCTTAACTTCATGACGCAGCGGCTCAGTAAGGACGATGGCACTGTGACAGAGTGGAGTCGTACACACGTGTGGGGACAATGTGGGACAGGCAGAGGGAAGGACAGAGACTCACACAGGGGCAGGCGAGCCATTTGCACCAGATGGGCAGGAGAAGGGATCAACTTCCCCACTGTCAGAGAGATTTGAGTGTTTGCTTCTTTTCACTTCAAAAACTCGATCCTGTGACAGCTTTGGGATCTGTTACTTTCTCCCAGCATGAAAATGAAACAACTGGTTTGATACAAAAATAATCTCTATAGCAAATGACAAGCACAGACTCAGCCCAGAGCACAAAGAATGGAGGCCTGTCAGGGAGGCAGTGACGCCCAGGCCTGCCTCTCAGCCACCCTTGGCAGGGCTGCCTCCTCCCATGGCCTTGACCCTGCCCCTTGTAGGTACTAAATGCAGACACCACTTAGTCTGCAGCCAGTTGCTCAACTTGAGCAAATTAAGAACTGCATGTCCTTGGGGACTCCACAATCTTGTGTTTTAAACATGCAGTCGTCCTGTTTACAACCACTTTTGAAAATCACTTAACTAAGATATTCATTAAATTCAACATAACAGTCCAGGAACACAACCTACTTGACCAACAGCAGTGAGTAAGTTTACTTAGTAACCCTCAGCCTGACACACCTGTCTTCTTGCAGGACTACATACCTCAAGGGCAGACAGGTGGAGAGGAGGCAGGAGTATCACTTGGGGGTCAGAGTCTGGCAGGGCTCAGGCAGGATCTTTGTTCCGACTAGGGAAGGAGGGCCGCTGACCAGGGCAGAGATGCCTGCCTTTGACTATCTTTCTCAGGGTGCCAGTTTGACCATAGCTTCCACTGGGTGCCCACTCCTGCTCCTACTTTCACAAGTCTTCCCCTAACAGCTCTTCACCAAGTCTAACCTATGGGGTCATCAACATGTGACCTTTTTTAAATTTTAAAAAACAGCTCAAAAGAATAACTTTCTTTTGAAGAATGTTCTCACAGAGGAAAATGACTCTCTCCCAACTCCAACACTGCTACAACCTCTGCATCGCCCGACCAACAGATCCCCCGGGCAGCTACGCCACGAAGGTGCTTGCTTCAAGGCTGCACTGAACACACCACAAAATCATAAGGCCGTAAAGCTGAACACCTTCAGCCCACAAGGCCACTGCAGTGGTTCTTAAATTGTCTAGTACCAGAACTGTATTAAAGAAGCTGTATTCAGAATACCACCAGCAAATAAAGGTTCAGGGTCAAATTAAACTCTCAGTTGGCAAAACACCTAGAAAGGACACAGGCTGAACTAACCAAGCTGACCTTCACCTTGCAACTAGAAGCAAAGAATGAGAACACTTAGACGACCTACTGCAGTTCTCCTGAACTCAGGAGAACTCAGATTAAAAGTCCACACCTCTGACTCCTGTTTGGTTCTTCATTTTTTTATTGGTTGTACCTACCGCCAGACATCATCTCTAGATAACTCCTTCATCCAACAGCACCCCTCAGCTCCCCTTCTCGGGATAGCACCCTTATGGCCTAACCAATGGTCTTAAAATGTTCTGCACTTCAATGCATTAAGGGCTACATGTTTCAGGTGTATTTTCATGTTTAAACATAAATTGTCTCACTATAATTTTACAAAAATTCATTCTCAGATATGTCCTAAATTGATTTACAACATAACCCAAATGCATGAATTTATACTATGAGTTAACCAACTTTTGCAGAAACCTAAAAATTCTCCTGGTATCATACAATATAACTTGACTTCTTTCAAAAATCATTGATGAGAACAAGTATAGCCTTCTACTTGTTTTGTTGTTACTGTTGATGCACGTGTCTGCTCAGCAAATACCGTGTCCAGATGAACCACAGGGTTATGCTCAGCTGCTTGGGCGACACTCATAAAGGCTACTGGCAAACTAATCCAACATGACTGGTATCTCCATAAGGGCTCCATAAATTTTGATAAACCAACCTAGTATCTAATGAACCCCCAACAAGAACTACCATGATAACATCTTATGATAGACAGTGTTCATGCTTGGGTTTAAGATTGGGGTGCCTCTTAATAGTCCAAAGGAAGCTTCAAATTCTGGCATTAAGATATGCACCATGAGGGCCCTCCCTGGTGGCACAACAGATTGAAGCACATCACTATGAAGCTAGCTGCAGCCGCTTCAGCACAAGTTTGATCCTGGCCCGGGGGGGGGGGGGGGGTGTGACACACATGGCACAGCAGACCTCTCCTGTAGCGCCTGCTGCTCCTCCCAGCAGTGTATCTCAGTAGATCTGCTTGTTCTGTTCCCTACTCCGTCTCTGGTGAATCCTCTCACCCTCCCCAAACCACACCTTTGGCCTGCACCCCAGTTCTGTATCTTAAAACTGAACCACAAAAAAGATATGCACCATGAATACTTAACCATTGGCATTTAATGCTTAGCATCCCTATCCACTATACACTTTGGTCCCCTAAGTGAATCTTTAAAACCCAGAAAATGGCCTGGTAGTCAATGCAAAGATACATGGAGAGGTTTCTAAGGCAAAGGGAGTAAAGAAACATGAAGGTACACCAGTCCCCGGCTCCTCTGTCCTTTGGTTCCTCGTGTGTGTTTACTCTCTGTTACCTGTTACCTACTTCCCACAGGGACACCAACCAGACTGGCACCAAGCAAGCAATACAAACAACATTTGTTGAATTCATTTTTTTCTTTCCTTTTTTTTTAGGTTTCGGCTATCAGCTATTTAATTTTTTTTTAATAATATAATAGTTTATTTTTACATCATGTTGTGCCCTTTTCCCTCTCAGTTGTAATCCCCATGGGCTTCCCATCACCAAATCACCCGTGTGCCATCACCATAGTTGAATCTATTTCTTTTTAAAGTCACAGAAATAAAATGTATAAGAGAAAGAAACCCAGAAAGTCAGCTGCAGATGACCCACTGACAATTGTGAACCACCTAAGGGATGTACATTATAGAAAAGGGTATTTTTAAAATCTGCTGAGTGAAAAGAAGGAAAAAGCAGAATGATTTTGAATTCCCACATGGTCAGGAATATAATAAACAATACAGGTACTTACTAATACGCCAAAACAACTCAGAATATATATTTAGTGTTAAGCTGTTTCAGTTTTGTTGATTAATAAAGAATCTACCTGGTGGGGGGAAAAGCCACTACGGTCCTATTATCCATGGGCAACCACTGTTCATTTTATGTGTATTTTTCAAAGTTCCCTTCACCCACATCAATACACATTATACACATATATGCCTGCATATACCTCATGTTGGAAGTTAACAAATAACTTCTGAAAGCCTATACAAATGGGAACATAAGACTCAAGAGGGATGTTTTCCTGATTAAGACTTTTCACAAAAATAGTATTCTTCAACATTATTTCTCACAAAACATTTTAAAAACGGAACCTTTGCCACCGCGGCAGACAGGTAACCTTGATGTTGCAATCACCACTGTTTGGCTTAGGAAACTAGCACTCTGTGCAGAAACTCACCTGGTGGTTACAGGAAACCAAATCAGAACTAGCACAAAATGACAAGGACTCTAGTAATAGAGTATTCTTTCTATTAAATAAACAGAAAACAAAGAAACAAGTGACTGAGCTTACCTAAAGGCTGCAATTAGTGGTGCATAAATTGAGTCCCCATCATAAACATATAAATGGTCCCAACTACACTCTGTAGCAAAATGATTGAAACGAAGTCTCATTATTCTATTTGGCCTGAAAAGAACAGAAAAAGTAGTTTTTAGTAATCATCTGAAACATTTAAGCCTTACATTTAAGAAACATTTAAGAAAGAAATAACTATTTTAGTAGATGTGCTGCCAAAGCATGCACTAAGAAAAAAATCTAGATCAACTGTTAACAAATCTGTAGGGAGAGAAGAAAATGCACTATATTAACACATAGTCCTTCATTTGTCAAAGATTTACTTAGTACTATGCTTGTGCAAGAGACCAAAAAATCATGCAATGGTAAACAAAACAGACATGGCCTAGGCCTCTTTGAACCTTACAGGCCACTCAGGGGCCATTCTTTACCAATCCATTAGTCTTTCTGCACTTCCTTCCTTATTCAACTTAAGATTCTGCGCTACATTAATGCACTAACCCACCTTCCAATCATCTAAATTTGCCTGTCCCTCTGGCCTTCTCATGGAACTACTTGACAAAAGCTCACTTATTGGCTTTGCACTTAGTCTTACCTAAAAGGCTGAGAAGCAATCACTTATATGCTTTGGTTTAGACTGAGTCAAAGGAAAACTAAGCCATGCTGGAGTCAGTCACACTGCTAGGCACGCTTACCAGATTCATAAGGCATTTCGATCTTGCCAGCAGTCCAATTACAAACCCCTCTCTCTTTCACTCCATCACTGGTTAACTCTCAATTACTACATGAAACCATCCAGTCCCACCTTCCTGCTTCTGCTTAGCAATCAGACAAAAAGCTTCCCAAAATAGATACACCTACATATTCCTCCTTATATCTCTCAAATATTGAACATATCATTCTCATATGAAACTTCCAATTCCACACTTATATCTTCTTAAGCATTGCATATTTCACAAAAAGCAACAAAACATAAGATAAAATGTAAACTTTCAAGCAATAATTAGAGTTTGGGAAAATTTGTGTCTGTCACCCAGACACAATTTCCAACATGTAAATCTTTCTGATGAGACTGATAGTGGTTTTAACCAATGTGTGGTTTTTACCATATATAATATAATATGGCAGTGATAAGCATAATTCTGTGAGCTAGCATTTTCCAAATGACCTGTACACATTTTGTTACAACACCATGCATGGGTTAAAGAACCACTTAAAGTACAAGAAAACCAGTGGATTTTTTAAAAAGTTCTAAGAAGTTCGCTAATATTGTTCATACTGCAACTTCCTTTTAAGCAATTACCTCTTGTCAAGTTTTGCTGTAGTATCAAAGAGGTCATTCACAATTATTTTAAAAAGCTATTAAAACCTCGTCCTTTTTCCTGTACACATTTATGTGAATCATACTTCCTTTTAACATACTTCAACCACGAGAAACAATGTGAATGTAGAAGAAAATATGATGGCCCAGTCATTTTCTATTAGACCAGACAAAGAAGATCTACCCCAAAGTAGGACAAAATCATTCTTCTCATTTTTTTAAATATAGGGATGGGGTTTTTTTTCTTCATAAAAATGTCACTTGTGCAAATATGTAGTGGATTTATTATTGTTTTTAAGTGAATTAATAAATGACATTTTCTTTATTTTAATTCCTGTATGAAAAGCACAACTAGAAACCACATGTTTTTTAGAATTCTCAAATTTTAATAGTGTCAAGAGGTCCTGAGACCAAGAAGTTTGAGAAACTCTCTTGTAAAGGTCTGACACAAAGGGAAGAAGGCGGTAGCTCAGAGGCACTGAAAAAGAAGGAATTTTTCAGTCAACAATAGCTATTCTGATTTTTCTGCTCACAATAAAAATAGGTCCTTAAAAAATGACACGGTGTCTAGTTTTATAATGCACTAAAGCTGACCTTAATATACTCAACAGTTTCTAAATTACAGTCTAATATATATAAATACCTAGTATGTGCATGTATCACTAGGAACACTCTAAATTAACAGTGAAGATTAAGACAACCAAAATCAAATTCACTTGCCCAAATAAAAAGCTATCAAGTAGAAAGTATTTAAATTATTTCACACTACAGATGAATGTTTTGCTTAAGGAAAAGTAAGTCACACTGAGTTCTATCCTGACAAAAATTAAATTAGTCATTACTACTTACTGTCCCTCAATGAGCCACGTGCACTTTGTTTTATATTTATAATTCCCAGGTCCATCTGTTACAAACCCAGAAGATCCAGTTAATCTGTAATTGAAAAAGAAAAACAAAAATCCATCAAAATTTCATGTATTAGTACTATTCTTCTTAATTGTCAATGGAATTCAAGGTAAGCACGGTGATGCATTAATGCCTACTAACTCCGTTAAGTGTTATGGCTGTGTAATCATATTCAGATAACACAAATTGGAGAGAACAAATACTTGCCATACACTTAAGAGAAAATAGGAAGCAAATATATTAAAACCACAAAAAAACGCCTAAATCTTTCTAGCTGAAAAGGAAAGTCATACCATTAAAGTGGTCACAAGAACTGTAAGTTAGTTTTTAGAAACTAAGATGACACATACATAATTACAGTTGTAGGCATATTCAACGCAATGTAGACAGCTGAAGTGCCATCAGAGTCTCTAGCTCTGACTCTGAGGTGCACCCTCCCTGGCTCCACAATCAGTGCATGTCAGTACCTGCTGTCCCACACTTGTGCCACGTCTGACATAAATTAGTATTTGTGGGTCTTGCCAATATGACGGGATATCCTGGCATCTCACAATACTTTGGTCCAGACCCTGATGTTTGACTATCTTCTCAGATGTTTGGTCACTTGCATTTTTTTTGCTACCAAATAAATGTCTTTTTCAAATTCATATGTAGGAGTTCTTATGTTAAGGATTCATTCCATTTTAAGGTAAATGTATCAAAATATGTCTTCTGGGTTTACTTTCTATACCAGCTGCAACAGGGAGTGTGGTCACCAGACAGTCTCCAGCTGCCAGCTCTTCTAGAAGCTGCCTTGCCCTGGGCCATGTGCTTCCCAGAGCAGCCCACATCAGAGAGTACAGTATAAACAGTGAGGCATTCCAAGACAATATGGGACATTTTGACAGGCAATTTTTGCTCCAGAGCTTCCTTTTGTCAGGCTGGCAATAAAGCTCACCTTCCTCCTTTGCCCAATGCTGCTTCTTCCTTTCACAAATGCTGTAACCAACTTGCCCCAAACTTCATGTCATCAAATGGTTCCCAAAACCAATCTTTGATAGATACCCAAAGATACCCTCCTCCCTCTGGGCTTCACTATGGTTAGATATTATAGCTGCAAGGATAGCTGTCAATCCACCAGCACCAAGGATGACAAATCAAATAAACGGTCCCAGAAAAGTGGTAGCACCTACCACAGAGACCATCCTCCTTTAGACTTCCAATTTTATGGATAAATCAATGTCCTTAATTTATTGGTTACTCTTTTATTGTATGTGTACACACACATATGTGTTTCCTTGAATCTTTGTTTCGGTTTCTTAGAGCTCGACATGTTTTATGACTTTCTATAATGCTTGTTTCATTGCCAAGAGTTTCTATGCCCTTCACATGGGCATGCTTAGTTGTTCGCAAGTCAGTTTCACTTTTAGAAAAGAAATAGGTTATTGTTATTTTTGATATTTACTTAGTCACTATAAATAAATGCATTTACTTAGTTTTACACATAATAGGCCTGATCAACTAAAGAACAATTCTCCTTTCTGCATTTATTTCTTCAAGTACCCTTCCCCCACACACACCAAGATAAAAACTACTGAACACTTCAAGCATTCTGGACTACTTTTCCTCATACATAGATGTCCATGCCTGGTTCTCTTTAATCATTTCTTTTTTGTACAAATTAATTACTACACAAAATTTTCTGCATCTTCCAGTTCTCACTCAACAAAACTTTGTGGGAATCTCTCCAATTAATCAAGAGCTAGTCTAACTTACTTTTTTTCATGTAGTGTAATATGTAATAGTCTAACCGGAGGAGGCATTATTGTTTTCTGCCTTTCACCTACTAACTTTCACTTTGTTTTCAGTTAGCTGGCATTATGCACACTGCTGCAATAAATATCCCTATACATATGGCCTTACTTGTACTTTTATTTCTAAGAATATAATCTTAGGAGGAAGATTACTGGGCCAAAAGGAATATGAATTTTAATTTTTAACTAAGTTGCCAAGTAATTTTCCATGCGTCTGTTAACAATTTCTATTTGTGCCAGCAGTATATGAGAATATGCTCTTCCCACACTCGCTCTGGATTGTGTATTTTTGTTTCTTTTAATTTTCACCAGTTTTTAATTTGAAAATCCCTTTCTTCCAATGAATGGCCAGCAAATGGTTACTGACAATTGAGAGAGACTTGAAAGGAGAAAAACAGGAATATCAACCTAAAATTTCAGGTCAAGTTTTATAGCATCATTTGTGAGCTGGGAATGGACAGTGGTCCTGCCTGTTCCCACAGCACAGGAAATCACACAAAGGAGTCAAATTGAAACATAAGAACATTTCAGTGATACAAAGGTCAGAAAAAGAAATGAATTCCATGCTATTACCAATTTCTCCATTCAGAAGATACTGAGAACAATTAGTCCTGGAAACAAATATTGATACAAAGAAAAGAAAGGAAGCTTTTACCGCAGACTAGTTTCAAAGGAGCCACCTACAATTACTGCTTTTGTGTTATTACTAGACAAGGTGCTAACAACTTTTCTTATCAGTTAAGATTTTCTCTATGGTCAAGCATATGGGAGCATAAACTTTGATCAAACTTCCTTTGATTTTTTTTTTAAGATTTTTTTTTGTAATGCATATAAGAACTGGGGTGTAGGCCAGAGGCTGGGGGTGTGTGTGTGAGGATTCACCAGAGACAGAGTGGGGAGAAGAACAAGCAGATCTACTGAGATACACTGCTGAGGGGAGCAGTGGAAGAGACAGGACAGGTCTGCTGAGCCATGTGGGTCAGCTCCCTGGCTGGGGATGGACATCGTTCTGCAGTGCCTTGCAGAGAGCTTGACAGCACTGGCACTTTGACTCCTGCACACCAGGGAGGCCCTCCTTTGACATTAAAAAAAAAATTATCAAAGAAATATAAATACTATTTTATAAATGCACATATGTTAAGTTTCCTGAATGTACTATTCCATTTATATTCTTATGACATTTCTCATTGTTTTAACAATATATTTAGCTATTAAGCCATAAAAGCTATGACCATCTTCATCATTTGTTCTTCTTGTCATAATAACGCACTTATCTAGTTTGATATTCAAATTCCACCTTGTCCATTGCTATGTAATCACTGATACTTTTGGTTACTGTTTCCCTAGGCCTTAGATCTTTATCCAACTCTTTACCTTCCATATTTCTTTTTGAATTTTCAAATTTCTTTTTTCTAAATAGGATACGGTTAGCTTTTGCTTCTTAACCTTGTCTGACTGTGTCACTGACCTAAAAACACCTATTTACATTTAATGTAGTGCCTGCCACACTAATTTAATACTTTCCTAACAAATTTTTCTTAAACTCCAGAGTCCTTTTCTCACTTTTAAATCAAAATCTTCTTGAGAATTGTCCAATCTGACAACACCCTCAACTCCTAATTTCTTAACCCACTGAAATTGGACTTTTATCCTCAACCCTCCTTTGAAATTCTTCTCTTAGGGTATACCAGGGTGATCTCTCAGGTTCCTGTTTACTTCACTTTCCCCTGCATTTGAAATAGCTGGTGACTCCCCCCTTTCTTAAAACATTTTCTTTAATTGTTTTTCATAATCTTCGACTTTGGATTCACTAGGAACTTTTCCTTCACCTTTGATAAATCACCTGCTCTTTTCCAGTCTAACTGCAGGAGTGTCCCAGGGCTTCAATTTCAGTCTGCTTTTCTATCTGAATTCCCTTTGTCGGTGATCTCATACTGTTAAAGCTTAAAATACTACCTATACACATTTTTAAGAACAATATTTTCACCTCTGCAATGGTAACACCATTCCCTTTTGTTATCCCAGAAAAAAATTAAGTAAATACAAGCATGTCTCTTGTTTAAAAAAAAGATTCATTTTTTTTCTTCCCAACATTCATAACTATTATTTTTCTTGGCTTATTACAATTGGCTATGAGCTTCATTATGACATGAGAAAGAATTGGTGATGACTGTATCCTTCTTTTATGCTTAATCTCGGGAGAAACTTTCCAATATTTCACCAAACATATGAAACCCCTACCAAATTAAAAAAGTGACTTTCTATTCTAAGTTTACAAAGATTTGTATCATTAATAGAGTTAAATTACCTTCTTAAAAAAAAACTGTGTCTAGAGAAATGATTGTTTATAATTCTGTTAAGGTTGTAAATGATACTGATATATTTAAGTAGTTCATTTTGTGGGGTTCTAACATAAATGGTATTAAGTTTTTAATTCCAATTCCATACCTTCATCACAGATATGTAGTTCTCCTTGGTGTTTTTTGTTTGTTTGTTTTTAGGTTGGTTTTATATGGTGTGCACGGTTTCTTGGCTTTATTAAGTTTCTCTTGCTTAATTTGGTAAGTTTTCAGTCAATATTTCTTTCAAATACTATTTCAGTCCACTCTCTTTCTTCTGTCATTCTAGATCTCCAACTATACAAATGTTTAGATCCTTTGTCCCACATATCTATTTTTTTTCCTAGTCTGTTCTCTCTGTTGTTAGATTGGGTGAGTTGTGTGATTCTGTTCTCAAGTTTACTAATTCTATGTTCCTTGTCACTCTACTACAGAACCCATCCAGCGAGTCAAAACCAGTACACCTTCTTACAGACTTTCAGAGTTCTCCTTTGGTCGTCTTTTGCATCAATTCCAGGATTTATAGTTGTATTTAGCAGACAAAAATAAAAGTATGTTTATACCATCTCTGTACCCTGAGTCTCCCAATGAATAAAGTGTTTACTCTCTCAATTTTCAGTCAATTCTCTTATTTTGTTAATGAAAAATAGAGTCACAGTTATTAAATTTGTCCATAGTAAGCAATGGTGATCTTGCAGGTCTTGACAATCCTGAACACAAAGCTTTCAGTGGCTTCACACTTTTTATGCCATCTTCGACACGTACTTGCCATCCACCACTCTGTCATGTGAAAAACTGGGGAACATTCACACTGGGCCCAGCATTTGCCATGGACAAAGATACTGGGACCTGTCTACTTCTCGGTGAAATTCTCATTGTCAAATTTCTTCCCACG